AGTATTAAGAAAACATTTTTTTAGCTGGATTGTAAATACATTGTTATTTCTTTTGTATTTTTTTTCTGAATTCTTTGAGAACAAAATTTCCAATATTTTGAGAGCTCACTTCTCCCGTCCTCAATGTGGTGGGGTTGGGGTATATGGGCAGTGGAAAGAGAGGAACCGGACATTATCTTTGTTAAGGTATTTTTGTTGGTGATAGATTCAGCTGTTACCTGTTTTTTTATTTTATTACAAAGTAAGTCATAGGAAAAGGAAGAATAGCATCTTCTATCACTACCCTGCCTATGATAAGGTTTGTTTCATAAATTTATTTGCCGACGTCTTGTTGGTTATAAATTGGAGCATATAGATTAGGTAGAATACACATGTTTTACCTTCGGCAACGTCTGCTATCCATGCTACTGTGACACAATCATATATGTCTTTTTTATACTAATGATAATAGAAAACGAAGTCTTCCAGCAAGTATATTCTGATATGTATTAAAGTTGATACTTGCATTGGCGAAAGAAAACCAAGTTGCAATCCTTGGGACATATACATGACTGAAAGCCTGCAGAGAGAAAGAAACACATTTGAGTCGAGTAAAACTGTAAAGTGCTTAGCCCTAGAATCTCCTTCATTTATTTATTATTATGTTTTTCTCCATTTACAGCATAATTTCTGCAAAACTTATGCTAATTAACCAATTGATTCTTGAAGTTCGTCTTATTTGAATTCCTGGTTCCTATGTTCTAATCCATTGGCTAGTCCAATGAATGTATTTTTGATGTGATACCATTAGAGCATGCCTAATATACCGTGTTACAAATTCTGAAGGAAAAAACACACACACAAATCTTTTTTTGGGGAAGAATGTGTTTCCTTAATGTCTACACAAGGTTTGGCTATTAACAAAATGACCCGAACTCTTACTAATTATTCTATTACTCAACACTTCCCCTCAAGCTGGAGCATAGATAATTATCATTCCGAGCTTGTTACATAACTAATAAAATGAGACTTCTGCAATGCCTTAGTAAACATATCTCCTAATTGATCTTTGGATTTCACATATGAGGTAACTATCCTTTTACTCATTGTCAATTCTCTCACAAAATGACTATCTACCTTGATATATTTAGTCCTCTCATGAAACACTTAATTTTTAGCAATATACATAGCTGTTTTTTTTTTCATTCTTTTTTTTCATAATTAATATACATAGCAGTTTGATCATCACAAATCATTCTCATAGACTTGTGACTGAAAAACACATATTTTGTAAAAGGGAATTTTTCCACATTATTTCGCAAGTTGTACATGTAGGCAGGGGCGGAGCCAATAAAGGCCTAGGGGGGCACGTCCCCCCCCCCCCCCCCCCCCCCCCCCGGCCTGGTCTCGCCCAATAGAAATATATGTAGTTAATTTGTATTTTTTTTTAAGTATGTATGAAAAATTATATATCGTGCCCCCCTAAAATTTTAATTTATAAAATTATCTTAACTTTTTATTTCCTTTATTCTTTAAATTCCTTAAATTTCTTTTAACAAAAAAGTCAAATTTCCCTTTTTGAATCATACTCTAATTTTTTTCCTTTCAAATTTATTTCAATTTTCTTTCTTTTTTCTTCCTTTTCTTTTTTCTTCTTAAAATTCGTCTTTTTGCGTGTTATATCATTGATAGTTGATTTTATTTTTTTTATTTTTTAAATTGTGCCCCCTCTGAATTGAAATCTTGGCTCCGCCCCTGCATGGGTTTTTCAAATTACTTGGAAGCATGTATAGACTGGAATTGTGTAGAGACACAAACCATTTTCAAAAACCATATATAGATGATATGTAGAGGCATACATAAGGATTTATAGTCCCTTCTTCCAATCTCTAAACCCACTTGCAGAAAGAAGAATTCCAAGCCCGCCCTTGCTAGATTCCCAACTCCTTTGGCCACCTTCTTCTTTCTCCTTTCTCCACCAATCCTCAAATGCCCAAAGAATATGACCCATTTATGAAATCTCTAAGCCAAGATTTGTGGGAATCTTAGAGAGTGTAGTATAAGAGTGCGCATCTTTATATGGAGAGAAATTCTCCTGTGAAGAAGAGTAGGCTATAGGGTTTATAACCCAATATATATAAACCCTTAGAGTTTCCAAAGCACTCTCTACATCCTACACACTAATTCCACTCTCTCTGCTTAAGTTTCAAGGTTGGCTAGAAGTGAGAATCTTATATGTGCCTAAACTCTCCTTGGCTCCAATGGTCTAATTAATTGACCCGGTCATCTCATGACCTCATTCAAATTAAGGCATCCTTCTTCCTAATGGACGGCTATGATGCATTACAATCAATAAAGATCCACTCTCTAGAACACTATTACGACAAATGCTGCGAACCAAGAACACAGTCAAGAATCACAACAAAAAAGTAAACACACCACTCACAAATAACACAATGATTTATGTGATTTGGCAAAGTAGGCGAAAGATTTCACTATACGAAAAATAGCAGATTACAAGTTTCAGCTCCCAAACTGTAGTTCTCTCTTTCCTGTGCGACTCAAGCCAAAACAAAATTTGGGCCACGACATCACAAACTCTCTACTCAAATATCTACATACCTACAAAATTCTGTACCCTTCTAGAATCTTCTCTAATCTACCAATTTATAGAAGCTCTCTAATGTTCTAAAATCTTCCAACTCTCTCTACAAAACTCCATATTTCCCACAAAAATGTGGAAGACTCTAGAACTCTAACTCTAACTCTACTCATGCCATGCAGACACCTTGTGCAATCGTCTACATTGCCTGCGTGTCGATTGCCGCCTGTGTGGCATAACCTCCCTGCACTCCAGATGTAAGTCCCCCTGAAAAACAAACTTAGGTGGCTGCTTCATGTATATTTCTTAAGGATCTCCATCTAAGAGGGCATTTTCAGTATCAAGTTGGTAGATAGACCAATTTTGTATTGCTGCAACTGATAAAAGAACACAGATAGAACTATGGCATGCAACTAGAGAAAAGGTTTTGAAATAGTTGACCTCGAATGTTTGATTATAACCTTTAGCAACCAATCGGGCCTTTAGGCTTTCAATTGTACCATCAGGTTGGTACTAGATGGCATACACCAATGGTTAACAAACTATTTGTTTCTTGGAGGAGTTAAAAACCATGTGTCATTTTTCTGGAGAGTTACCATTTCTTCAACTATAGCATGTTTACAATTAGGGGAGAACAAGGCGTGAAGATAGGATTGAGACAGAATTAGAAGGCACGGCACAAATAATTAACAAAAAACGTGGAGATAAGTTAGTAAAAGAAATAACATGTTTAACGATAATGAATGCAAGAACGGGTACCTTTGTGTAATACAATAGGGAGATCATCAATGGAAGGTACATTAACTGAAACAGACTGTGTGGTGTGACAAGAGTTGCTTGCCACAGTCATCGAATATATACTTGAAGTGATTACACACAAGTTATCAATGAATGCAGATTTTCTATACGAGGAGACAATCTACCAGTTCTAGGACTTAATATATGAACAAAGCCAACACAACCAAAGACCCAAGGGGGCAACACAAATAACGGGCTATCGAGATGAAGAATAGAGTAAGGATACTTCCCTTTAAGAAAGGAGAAGGCATAAGGTTAATTAGGTAGCAAGCAATAAAAGCGGCATCGACCCAGAATTCTTTTGGGACATGCATATACAACAAATTATTTTGTGTCATTCTTCTTTATACCTCTAATGTTGTGTTTCTAGTTTTTAAACATACATATTGTCGCTTATGTTAATTGGACTTGGGTCAGTGTATTGGGTGTGGATGTGTGTCCAAGTGCCAGACCTCCTCGAACCCATTTTCTTAAGATACAGGAATATATGTCCAAAAGTTGAATATAGTTACGTAAACACATACTATGCATTTAAACATTACATGCTCTATTATAATGTAATGTTTATTGTTGTTTTATAAGAATATGCTGAATTATTACAAATTAAATGGTATATGGTAAAACAAAAGAGTTTCGAACTAATGTTAGTGATAGTTTTCATCTCTCTCTACTATTAAAGTTAGTTTTTTTCTTTTAATCTTGCCATTTGATGGATTTGGATGTTTGATGTGGCTTCGTGTGTCGGACACATATCATGTACTCATGCTCGTCTTGTGTTGTGTCGTGTCAAGTCAATATGGGAATGTGAAGAGAAATAGGAGAATCCATGTAATAAAGTGTCGTTACATCTTTAGTTCATCATCTTATTGAATCTACATTACCCTTGCTCTCTGGATGATTTATAGATTGCATCACAAGTCAAAGGCCACTGGATTTTAACTATTCTATGAAGTGCCTATTTACAATAGTAATGATAAAATTTTACACCTCAATAGAAATTTGTGGTGGATTTCATTCGAAGCTTTACCATTTTTTTTTTCTTACCTTTTTTTTTTGGTTGAAGTCAAGTCTTTGTTGTCCCTGAGTGTGAAGAATTTATCATAGAAAATAAAATGGAGCTCTGACTATTATAACCAGGAAGTGAGTGATTATATCATGGAAATTGAGTTGATTAATTCGGGGTCCAAAGGGGATCACAAACATACAGGTCAAAACAAATTATCCATCCATTGTTTTTGAGTTCTTGATTTCACCATTAAATGGATAATGTGTGTGTGTGTGTGTGTGTGTGTGAGAGAGAGAGAGAGAGAGAGATGCATTTGTGAATTGCAGCGAGTCTTTATTTGCCCTCCAGCAAAGAAAGTACAAAATTGCAAGTGAGCAATATGCTATTATTTTGTTGTTGGAAGTATCATCTGATTGTTGAGAAGTGCTAGTAAAATCTGGAAGGTGGTTATGTCATGGCACATATCGCAACATAATTTATATAGTTTAGCTTTGAGCTTAAGATGGTGCTGTAGCCATGATGTGTCTTCTTCAAGTACACGAGTATTTTAAGTTTTGTCAGCTCTATTTATGGTTTAACAGCTTCTCATTTTATTGTCATGATTTCATTAAGCAGATAAAAGTAGTTGGCTCTTATGGAGGCAGGGCAAGGCAGGATCTTCCGAAGTTGGTTAAGCTGGCAGAAAGCGGTATCTTCAATCTCACTGCTGCAGTTTCAAGAAAATGCAAATTTGAGGAGGTAAACAAGGCATACCAAGATCTTAACGAGGGAAGTATTATAGGTCGTGCCGTGGTTGAGATAATGTAGTCGTGTTCTCTGCAACAGGAAAGCAAAATAAGTAGTGCACAGGTGATTGTGTATGACTAATGTCACTTAAAATGAAGAAAGGAGGAACAGATTAAATAAAGAAGTACAAGAATTCATGTCTTTTTTCTTTTTGGATTGTTGGTTTTTTTTTTTTTTAGTTGGGTACTCACACACACATGCCCCACAGAGGCTCGAACCCCTGACCTCTCTTTGAGAAGTAGTGGCTTGGTACCGCTAGGCCACTGACTTGTCGATATTGTTGGTGTTTTTAGTTCGGTATTAATTTTTACTATTTCATTAAGGGTTAGATTTTTTTCATTTTTCCCTTCAGCTACATGGCCCTCATCATTGAACCGTTGACCTTATCAACACTTAGCATTTCATTGCTCGTGTAGCATAAGGCATTGATGGAAAAAATTGTTGGTGATTTGATGCAGTTTTAGAATCTAGCTTTTCTGTGAAGGTAGTTTTGGTCATGAAAAATGTCATTCTAAGTGGACACAAGGTTGCTCACTTTCAAGTCCGTGAAATTTGGGCTGATCTAGGCTGATCGTTGTGGGCTTAATCTCAAATTGGGCCACAATATTCTCGGGGAAAACAATGCAATTTGGTGGGTTGGCTGTGGTGGGTGCAAAGTAATCATTCAAGGTTCTAGGTGCAGCCATTGGATAATGAGTGGTGGTTGGAAAGAGTGATATGGGTTTCTCCAAATCGGGGAGGGAGGATCACTAGGACGCCGAACTAAGCGTTTGTTAACCTGTAATCACTTGGGCATGAACCCACAGACAACTAGCTAATTAGATCCTTAGATCCTAAAGATGGTTAGACAACTGGACTGGATTCACAAAATACACAAATTTTGGCTTTTTAAACTTGAGCTTAAATTGAAGAGATGAATTTTTAAATCAAATCTTGAGAGAATTAATAGAATGGTCTTCAAAATTAGTTCTCTCCTAATGAGACAGTTCTTAGTCATTTTCAGATTTAAGTTGATAGATTACCGGTTAAGTTTCAGATTTAAGTTGATAGATTACCGGTTAAGGACTATTAAACTAACAACGGAGTAGCTCTTAGGAAAGCATGAAGTGGCACTTGGCCTACTTAATGACAGTATGTTCACACTCCTTCCACAAAATTGACAAACCGTTTATCAATTTGATAATTGCTCACTGAAGTGACTAATAACTGCATCTTTTCTAGAGGACCTATGAATAAAGAGGACCTATGAGTTCGTAACCCTAAATTGGGCTTATTTCTAAATAATTTTTTTTGACCCAAGGTTTCTAATCAGGGCTAAATGAGATATTTTGATGATAACAAACCATTGAAGGTGTTAAATTTAATGTCTACTTGAGTTATTCTAAAATGGTTATATATATAAGAAACTCAAGTGAGCTAGTGGATCAATAGCAAAGCCAAGATGAATGATATGCTTAAAGATAAAATCTCGAAGCCCAAAAGACATTAAAAACAAAGATGGAGACATAAACCCAAAGCTTAAAGAAAAGGAATATCAAAGAATTGGTTAGAATAGTCTTAGGTGAGTGCTAGCGTGACGTTTTGAATTTTTTGGTATTTTTTGTAATTATATATTTTCTGCCTTGTTTTGCATGCCGAACACCGTTTAGCATGTTATGTGAGTCTCGAAAGTTGATTAGGGTATTTCTTTGAGTTTAGAACTCTTAGAAAATGCATTTTTGGACACACGATCTCAAGCGAAAAGATTCACCTATAGTTGAAGCAAAGTACAATGGATTTCGACTTAGGCTCACACCATCTCATTTTATCAAGAACCAATTTCCTTCGACTTTGCAACTCCCCCGTCAAATAGCTCTCGACCTCAAGTGACACACCCCAACCCAATTTACAGTATTAAATAAATTGAACAATTGGAATGTATCTAACCATCTGCATTAACCTCATACATACGTGACGTCTTCATATATCACAGTGCCTGCTTAAAAGTTTATAATAAAAAATAAACTATAAATCCACCATGCAAGTTCTAAGAAAACTAAACCGTTAATTACAAGTCACACTATTAAATTCTACTATAATATTTACATTTTATACAAAAGACGTTTCATTGTTCTTTTTTCCTATCACACTCAAGACTCTAGACTAACAATCCACCCTTGTATCTGAAAAATTATAGATATAGAAGGAATGAGCTTAAAGCTCAGTGAATGCAACACTACTACATCAGAGTAATATAAACAAATATTATCTGATAACTTCAATTAAACTTTATTAACATATAACTTACAGCTATACCGGCATTTAAAATATAGTACTCTCCTTCTAGGTCAGAGTATGGACCTTATATAATGTAGTACTCTCCTTCTAGGCCAGAGTATGGACCTTGTATAATATATTACTCTCCTTCCAGGCAGAGTATGGACCTTATATAATATATTACTCTCATTCCAGACCAGAGTATGGACATTATATAATACAATCAAATTATATATATGCATCTTCATTTCACATAAACAGTTTCAATACTTCAATTAAACACATTCAAGAGTATACTTCTAGTGAGTACACTCACCTTGGTTATTTCCCGAATTATTTACTTATCCCTTGGTAATGTCAAAGTTGTCAATTTTTTCTCATTGCCTATACAACATTATAGCCATGTTATATTCATTCTAAAAATAATTAAACAATTAATCATCAATTCAAATATAAATCCCAGCCTTGGTATGTAATTGTAATTGAAATTCTAACTACAACCATATAGATTAATTTCAGGGCATTAATTAAAATCAAGTAAGAATTGTATTACTTCATATAATTTAACGACTTAATTAAGAAAGTAATAATGAAAGAGATTTTGTTCAAGAGCACCTCAATAAATAAAGTATTGAACAATTAGGTGATATAAATTTTCAATATAAAATTAAAATTACAAAATTTTTCTACCTTTTAGGATTGCATACACGAATTTTCCTAACTTTTTTTATTTGTCTCCTCTTCCTTCCACTATTTTTACTTTCCTTCCTTCTTTACAGAACACCCACTTTCTGGTTCTCTCTTCTTTTTCTCACTCTCTTTCACTTTCCCTATTCTCCTCTCTAGTTCGGCTTTAGTCCCACAGTTTTCTTTCCTTATTTTTCTTTTCTTTTTCTACAAATTTTTGTTTTAAAACATGCTGGTCGGAGAACTCCAAAATGTAAAAGTAACATAAGGTATATATGAAACTTTTAATAGGTGTATGACATGTGTCCAAGTTTACTCGTACCCTCCTATTTAATTCCTTCAATCAGTTGTCCAAAAGCTTACCAGAAAGCTTCTATATAAAACATATCTATTGAAAATCCAATGATACACATACTTATATATAGACCTGGTGCTGGCAGCTATATTAATGTATATCATTAATTGTTTTGCAACTTGCATGAAATATAATATTATTATTTATATAAACTATCCACCAAACTCCATACTCCGCACTTGATATCAGCACACATCTTAACTATAAGTGCCACCACACATACACAACATGTGTCACGCTAGTCCTTCTTTTTCTTCGTTTCAATCAACTGCTACAAGTTCACATAGTAAACTTTGCTTACTAAACAGGAATAGGTAAGAAATAAATATGAATAATTATAGGTATCGTGTACCATGCATGAGTGAATTTAAACTCAAATAACTATTAGTAAGCTCGTAATAGTAATTAAAGAGCTAGTAAAAATTCAGGATATGACATCAAGCTTACTCCCTTGACTTTTGTAGAAGGATTGCTAGTAGATTAACAATACTCCACGAATGTTTTGACCTCTTCGAAGTATGATCCCTCCTTTTTTTTCTTCAAATCTAAATTGATGAACATAAATAGAAGATCTTCTTTTTCTGAACGGTATCAATGGATCTTCAATGATTTGGACTCCGATCAGATAATGAACAACATCTTAAATCACTCACGTGTATAGTATATGCTCTCAATATGAAAAATAAACATATAGAAAATCTCACTAACTTGGCTCTCTAAGATTGCTGAAAATTGTATGCAAAGGCCGTAGAAAATCCTAAGTGAAAAGATGTGTTTATATAAAATTTTTCGACCTGTAAATACTTGAAAAAGAAGTTTAATTTGTGCATAATAGTCTCACAAAAATATGATAAAATAGATAACCTAATTGGAGTAGGAGAATAATTTTCAATTTGCTTCCAGGGAAGAGAAACTGGTTCCTTTGTAGCACAACCAGTTTCGCTAAGGTAATGAGTTATACTTCAAAAATGAATTCTAATATACAATAGTGCAACTGATTGCGTGAGGACGTGACTGGTTCTGCTTTAGCAGTGCACTTTTGTAAAAACTATCTTTTGAAAAAAATTCTTAAGTGCTCATGCCTAAATACTCACACCTTATAAAAATATTCTCACATACTTACCTAATCTAATATGTGTTCTCATCAAACCGAAGTATGTCAACATGATTCACATCTTTAATTCTGCTTCCGACCTTGAGATTCAAAATCCAAATTAAAATTACGACTCAATCAGACTTGTTTTGACACTGAATATTGACAATTACAATATTATATCTCACATTTGTTTCATTAGAAATTTTTGCTATTTTGACTGAATTTTGCTGTGCAACTTCTCCTACCTCTTTATTCCAATTCTTATGTATAATATAGGGGTGCACAGGTGGTTAAGATCACAGAGGAGGATGTAACGGAGGAGGTTGAATGCTGGAAGAACTCCATAGTGGGATATATAGTAGGGAAACGACCTTATTTTCCACACTTCAATGATTTTATCAAAAGGATTTGGAAGAATGTAGGTGCTCTGAAAATGGTATCTTTGCCAAAAGGATTCTTCATGGTGAGGTTCGAAAACGAAAATGTTGTTAATCTCATTACCCAACGTATCTATACTTATCAAGGACACCCCATGATCTAGAAATGTTAGGAGAGAAATGTTAACCTTAAGAAGGAGGTATTAGGTTTTGTACCTATTTGGGTAAAGATTGGTTGGGCTTCTTATACATTGCAGAGGGAAGATGTCAATTGCTAGGTTTTGCTCTCAGTTTTCAAAACCTCTTTATCCTAACGAGGCCACTCTAGCCGGGGAACGTGGGGGTTTTGTAAAGTTATGGTGGAAGTAAATGTTCATGATG